AACAGCTGGTTCTCAGAGGTCTTTTATTAAAGGTGACCTTACAGAGACGATTTCCCTCAAAATCTTAACTACTTAATGGACTTAATACAAAATTTATATTTACAATTTTCTTGCTTATTGTTCGCTCTCCCCATGAGACTATAAATTCTGTGAGGACAGGGGCAAATTTTCTTTTTATTTTTTTATTAAAATATATTTGATGGGCCGGCCCCACGGCTTAGCGGTTAAGTGCACGCACTCCAATACTGGCAGCCCGGGTTTGGATCCCGGGCGCACACTGACGCACCACTTCTCTGGCCATGCTGAGGCCGCGTCCCACATACCGCAACTAGAAGGATGTGCAACTACGACATACAACTATCTACTGGGGCTTTGGCGGGGGAAAAAAAAAGGAGGAGGATTGGCAATAGATGTTAGCTCAGAGCCGGTCTTCCTCAGCAAAAAGAGGAGGATTAGCATGGATGTTAGCTCAGGGCTGATCTTCCTCACAAAATTAAAAAAAAAAAAAATTTATATATATATATATATATATATGACATATAAAAGCTTTGTTTTCTTTATCACTGGAATATTCAATGCCTGACACATGGAAGATAATAAATACAGGGTGAATTAATATACTCTGAAGGGCTGAGGCAGTTATGATTTTATTAACACTCAAGTATGAATAACACACAAAAAGGTGGTGCAAAGGAGTCAATCAACTAGACTAGTGAAGGCAGTGACTCTAAGCAACTGCAAAGAACTTCCTCCTATCTTGTTTTCTACCACTCTTGCAGAGATTTTTTGTTGTTGTGTTTGTGTGTAGAAAAGAGCCCAAATAGTGGTTTTTTTGTAAATTCTAGTACATTCATGGTCAGTATTTCTACAGCAATGAATGTAAAATATAATTTAATTAATAGTATATATTAATAGTTTTATAATTTAGCCCAGCACTGAGTCATTTACAGTTTAAAACAATCACCTTCAAAAGACACTATTAAGAAAGTGAAAAGACAACCTACTGAATGGGAGAAAATATTTGCAAATTATGGATCTGATAAGGGACTTGTATCTACAATACATAAAGAACACTTACAATTCAATAATTAAAAACCCAATTTAAAAATGGGCAAGGATTTGAATAGACATTTCTCCAAAGATGATGTACAAATAGTCAAGCTCAACATCATTAGTCATCAGGGAAATGCAAATCAAAACCACCCTGATACCACTTTACACCCAATTAGGTGGCTATAATCAAAAAGACAGATAATAACAAGTGTTGGCGGAGATGTAGATAAACTGGACTACATCTCCACCAACACTGATGGTGGGAATGTATAATGATGGAACTGCAGAAAACAGTCTGGCGTTAAATGTAGAGTTCCTATTCGACCTAGCAATTCTACTCCTAGGTATATATCCAAGAAAAATGAAAACACATCCACACAAAAACTTCTACACAAATGCTCACACCAGTATTATTCATAATAGCCAAAAAATGGAAACAACTCAAATGTCTATCAACTGATGGATAAATTCATACAATGGATTATTTGGCCATAAAAAGGAATGAAGCACTGATACATGGTACAACATGGATAAGCACAGAAAACATTACACTAACCAAAGGAAGCCAGCACAAAAGACCACATATCATATGATTCCATTTAATGAAAGTATAAGAATAGGCAAATCTATAGAGATAAAGTAAATCACTGGTTGCCTGGGGGAAGGAGAGGATAGGGGAATGACAGCCAAAAAGCGTGGAGTTATTTTTTGGGTGATGACAATGTTCTAAAATTGATTACAGTGATAGTTTTACAACTATGTGATATACTAAAAACCACTGAACTGAATATTTTAAATGGGTGAATTGTATATTAATTATATTTCAATAAAGCTACTACAAAACAACAAAATGGTCACTTACGTTTTTGGTTACGCTCTATTGTATTCATTAAGGAAATTATAGCTACTTTGGTCTTCACAAATGCCTTGGGATATATCCCTCCAAATAGCAATTCTCTTTCTTTAAAGGAGACAAAGATAAGGAAGATAAAAAAAGAGGGGAAATCTTCATAACTGAATGATTAACATGTCTGACACATCATTTTGCCTGCTCATTTTTATATTTCGAACAGTAATTTTTCCTACTAATGTCACATTTTTGTTGTCTTTAAACACTTCAAAAAACTAAAGAATGACTAGCTTAATATAGAATGTTCAACCAATTTTCCTTAGTTTATTTCTTGATTTCAAATTTGATCAATTCTTTTCATAAATACTTACTTTGCAAATATAATGTGAGGATTCAAGATATCATAGTAAGATGGCTAACACAATGCCCGGTATGCAGTAAATTATTGTCATTATCATTATGATACAGGAGACAGGATCCTAAAGTTGATGAGCAAAACTGCAGAGACGGGAGACACAAAGGCTATACCCTAGAAAGGCACAGTCATGTGTCAAGGAAAGGAACTCCTTGGCAGATAATCCCAGACCAAACTGAGAATTGGAGCAGCAGCATGATCATCACCATCACTATTACTACCATTACTATCATCACCCAACATCATTCTCCTCCTAATTTATGTATACGCTTTTAATTTTTTCTAATTATGAAGCATTTAAACACATGGAAACATCCCCCAAACCCAACTAATGGCACATCTTATCATTTTCTCACATTTTTATCAATTTTTAAAAAAAATATATGAAATATCTAACACAGATCCACTTTCATTTCCTCTCTCCCTTGGAATATGGTGTTAAGTATCACTATGCATGTTTCAATTGTAACTATAGGTATCTATAAACAATATATTATTTTGCATGTTTCCAAACTTTACCAAACGGCATACTGGTCTGCACCTTGCTTTCTTAACTCAACATTTTGCTTGTTTTTTAATTCAGTCATGTTGTTTCATGTAGCTCTAGTTCATTCATGAAAACTGCTGGACAATATTATATCGTATGAATAAGTCATGCGTCGCTTAACCACAGGGACATGTTCTGAGAAATGTGTCATGAGGCGATTTCATTGTTGTGTGAACATCATAAAATGTACTTACACAAACCTAGGTGGTATAGCCTACTACACACCTAGGCTATATAGTACTAATCTTACGGGACCACTGTCGTATATGTGGTCCATCATTGACTGAAATATCATTGTGCGGCACGACTGTATCACTATATATTTTATGTGGCACGACTGTATCACAATATATTTGTCCCTACTCTAATGAGATGTTTAAACTGTTTCTAATTTTGTTAAGTGGCTGCAACAAACAAAATTCCTTGAGCACAGGTACTAGTTTCTAGCATATATTTCTAGAAGGAGAACTGCTAGGTCAAAGGACATATACCTTCAACTTCACTAGAGGTTACTAAGTTGATCTCCTTTTTACACTCCAACCAGCACTGTGACAGAGTTCCTGTTTCTCCTCATCTTCACCAATTCTTAGTATTGTCATACTTTTTAATTTTGCAAACTAAAAGGTATAAAGTGGTACCTCATTGGTTTATTTTTTCCTGATTAGTGAGGTTAAGTATCGTTTATTCGCCTTTCAAGTTTCCTTTCATGTGAAATGCCTTTAACAGTACTGCCATTTTTCAATTGGTGCCATTTTTCTATGGATTTGTGGTAGTTCTTAAGACAGTCTGGGTATCAATCCTTTATTGATTATATGTGTTTCTAAATGATTTCCCAAAAAAGTATAAATCTGTTGATTTTGAAATCTAGTAAGGTATAGAAGCAAAGACAATTCCTGCCTTCTCCAAGTTCACAGCTATTTTCTGGACCTTTATATCTGTGTTTCTCAAACCTTTCTGGCCACTCATAAAAGATGAATTCCTCCTTGAGAGCCAATACACATACACTTACATATGAACTGAATAACGAAGCTCGAAATCAATTTCTTCTAAGAGATTAACAACAAAATACAAAAAAAGGACAGTTTGTCTCCATTCTATACAGCCAACGCTACATTTTGGCTCTCATGTTAATACATTATATAGCTTTCACATAGGTCAGTAAACAACCATCTATTTTGATTAATAAGTTTGGTAAAACCCCTAATTAATAAATAACCATCATATCGATACATCACAATGTCTAAAACAACAATGAAGAGTGCCCACTCTCTCTACCCAATAAATTATTAAGGTACAAACCCAGACTAAGCAAATGAAATTTTTCAATTTTCAGTCGCACTAACATACAATCAGTTCTTACAGATAAAGTTGATCGGCAGAAGTGAAATGATTCTGGATATTTTAGTGACAGCCAACTACTGCTCAAAAAAGTTAACATCATTTACAGGAGCACAATCGAATGTTTTGCAAAATAAAGACGCTGCCCTAGAGGCATATAATCTTAGAGCAAGAAAGGACCTTAAATCACTTCATCTAACTCCCTCATTTTCAGGTGAGGCAACTGCAATCCGGAAATGAAGCAATTTGCCCAATCCAGGTCCTCTAAAATCTAAAATCTACAAATTCAGGGTTCTTTCCATTGCATCACGCATCTTCTTATTTTAGACTCTCCAGTTCTAAAACTCTGATTCCTCTATTAATTTTTACAAGATTGAGTTGATGTGTTATAGAAATGATGGAAGTAACTCCCAACCCCCCCCCCAATCTTTTCCTTTCCCCTCCCCTATCCTCCATTATAATCTACAGAAGGAAAAAAAATAACTGCCTGAATTTCTGGCTCTAATTAGGTGCAGAGTCCTGAGCCCCTGCCTACTGTTTCTGTGTTAAATCAATAGAAGTATTTTTTTAATCCTCCATTCCTTTATTCAATAATATCTACCAAGCGCCGACCTGGCCGGAAGCGCAGTGCACGCGGCTCCTCCTAGCCCCGCGGACCACCGACGCCGGGAGGCCGGGGGCGCCAGTTAGCGGGTGCCGGGCAGCAGGGAGCTGGGGGCGCTGGGGCAGCGGGGGTCCCGAGGAGCGGGGGTGCCCTGGGGCTCCCGGGAACAGGCCGGGTGGCGCGGGCGACTCACCTTTACGCAGCTCCCGCTCCCACACAGTGACGATGGGCCGCGAGTGCTTGCGGTGGTGGATGAGCCACAGGGACAAGGTCTGCACGCTCTGCTGCGAGTTGCTCAACTCCGACAGCTTCTTCTCCAGCGCCGCCTCGGAGAAGGCGGACATCCCTCCGACACCGCGTTCACGCCGTCCCACGCGGTGGGGCTAAGGGGAGGAGAGTTTCGCCGCCCTCGCCGCGGCCTCGCCCCCTCACCCCACCCTTCCCCACGCCCTCGCCACTGCTGCCGCTAGATCCAAGCCTGGCCACAAACCAGCAAGATGGCGTCCGGCCTGCAGTGACGTCACGGCAGGCCAACGCCCCGCCCCCGGAAGAGGCGCGGCCGAAAGGTGGGACCTCCGAGCGGAAGGGGCGGTGCCGAAGCTAGCGCTGGGGATGCTGACCGGGGCGTGCCGCGTGGATCAGGGCCAGGAGCGGGGCGGGGTCTCCCAGGCCTAGAACCCTGCTGTGGGAAAACTGTGTCTGCCGGAAAAGGAGTGATTCAAAATCTCTGAATAGGCTGAAAATTGGTACAGCCACTTTGGAAGACTATTTGGCATGATATATTACATTTTAAAATACACCTTCTCTGTGACTCTGCAATTTCACTAGTTGCTATCAATGGTAGGGAAACACCAGCACGTTTGCGTAAGGAACTGTATGCTAGTTGTTCTGTCCAGGTCAGTAACATTGAGAAGTTGAGACATTCACAGCAGGTAAATGGCTAAATTAATTGTGATACATCCATATTACAGAATACATGCAGCAGTTTAAAAGATAAATCCAAGATATTGTGGATTTGAATTTTTTTAAGCTGCAGAAGGAGAAGTACAGTATAGCATTTGTTTAAGTGTATATTTTATATGAATTCATAACTATGTAAATACATGGCAAAAGCTTTGGAAGAATACACACTATATTAAGAGTGGTGTCAGGAAACAACAAAAAAAAACCCTATCAAAAAATGGGCAGAGGAAATGAACAGACAGTTCTCCAAAGAACATGTACAGATGGCCGATAGGCACATGAAGAGATGTTCAACATCACTAATCATCAGGGAAATGCAAATCAAAACTACACTAAGAGATCATCTTACACCCTTTAGAATGGCTATAATTACCAAGACAAAAAAACAACAAATGTTGGAGAAGCTGTGGAGAAACGGGAACCCTAATTCACTGCTGCTGGGAATGTAAACTGGCACAGACTCTATGGAAAACAGTACGGAGATTCCTCAAAAAATTGAAAACAGAAATACCTTATGATCCAGCTATCCCACTACTGGGTATCTACCCTACGAACCTGAAATCAACAATCCAAAGAGGCTTATGCAACCCTATGTTCATTGCAGCATTATTCACTATAGCTAAGACATGGAAGCAACCCAAGTGTCTCTCAACTGATAAGTGAATAAAGAAGATGTGGCATATATAGACAATGGAATACTACTCAGCCATAAAAAAGACAAAATCATCCCATGGATGGACCTGGAAGGTATTATGTTAAGCGAAATAAGCCAGGAAAAGAAAGACAAATACTGCATGATTTCACTCATAAGTGTAAGGTAAACTAACACACAAACAGAGAGAACTGTTTGGTGGTTACCAAGGGCAAGGAGGGTGGGGGGTGGGCATAAGGGGTGAAGAGATGCATTTATATGGTGACTGACAAACAATAATGTACAACAAAAATTCCACAATAAAGAAAAAAATAAAATAACTAAAAGATGCATTTCCAATGCAATTCTACTTTACATACATAATAAATTAGTTATCAAGATTAAAAAAAAAAAAAAGAGTAGTGTCAGGGAGAGGATCAGAGTTGGAGCCCTTAAAGCTGTGTCTATATTGTTTTCATTTTTTACAAGAACGTATTCATGTATTATTTATATAATTAAAAATTAATTTCAGAAATCTCATAATTAATCCAGCACATTTTGACATAATACTTCTCTTAATTGTGATAGTTCACAAAGGAAACAAAAAGATGGACACTGTCACAGTCTAAATATCAATACAAGAAATTTCAAGAAAGATACATAAGAAATCACAGGAATTCCTAAGTCATCTTTTGAGAAGCACTGTTCAAAAACTTTACACCAAGTAAGCATCAAATATGTTCATTTGTTTGATTATAGGTATAGAACTATACCTATAATCAAATATCCATACTTATACTTTCCCATTTTTAATGTTACTACAGCTTGAGGGTCAGATACCTCAGAAGTGAAGTAACTCTCCTTTCTCTTCCTCTCACTCCAATATCTATTCCTGTCTCTACATTCCTGTCTTTTCCCATTGTACATTCTTTTTATTTAATCCAATCTACTTAGTCTAGTTTTTAACCTTAACTTAGTCTGAGTTTAACCTGTCTTCCAAGACCTCAGTGTATCTTCAGCACTATTCTGTCCCAGGAACCCTGCAGCCACCAAAATTGCTACATATCATCTCCAAATTATGTCTTCACCTGTGATTCCAACTCTTCCCACTCTTTTCTTCTGTATCTCAGTTCTACCTGAACTTTAAAGACCACCTTAAATTCCACCTTCTTTTCTTTCCCAACCAATCCAATGCATGTAAGAAGTTCCTTCCTGTGTCATTTACTGACTTCAATGCCTTATTTAGCACTTACACTACTAGTCTATGCTATTTATAATTTTATATATATATTCTGTCCTCAGCTAGATTTTACTCTCAGTGACTCAGCCAAAGCATCAATTCTCCTGTTTTCCTTGGTACTGAGTCTGATTTGGCTGCTCCTGCTCTGGGCTCCCACAGTATTCTGTACATGAGCGTACCATGGTTTTCCAAATCAGGCTGTTAGATCTATATTTATTGACATTGTTACTTATTGCTGTATTTTCAAAATATTGACTGTAACTGTTTATGCTCTTAGAAAATTATGACTTATTTTCATATCTGTGTCCTCTGACTATACTTCTTGATTTTGTCTTCCCAAATACAGGCCTGAAATTCAGAATAACGCAATTTTTCCATAAACTATCTTTGGCTTTCCTAGAATGGCCAGCAAGTAACAAAAACATACGCTCCTTCAACTTAAAAAGTCAGAAGAGACTATAGACCAATATCACTTATGAATATGGATGCAAAATTCCTTAACAAAATTCTAGCAAACCGAATCCAGCATCTTATCAAGAGGATTGTACATCATGACCAAGTGGGATTTATCCCAAGAATGCAAGGGTGGTTCAAATACAAAAATAAATCATAGTACACCATATTAATAGAACGAAGGAAAAAAAACAAGATTGTCTCAGTTGGTGCGAAAAAAAAAAAGCATTTGACAAAATCCAGCATCTTTTCATGATAAAAAAAAAAAAAAAAACCTCATCGAAGTAATAATAGAAGGGAACTTTCTCAATTTAATAAAGATGTGTGGAAAACCCCACAGCTAACATTACACTCAGTTGTGAAAACTGAAAGCTTTCCGCCTAAGATCAGGAACAAGACAAGGATATGTACTTTTTCCAGTTTTATTCAGTATTATCCTGAAAGTTCTAGCCATAACAATTAACAAAGAAAAAGAAATGTAAGGTATCCTACTTGGAAAAGAGGAAGTACAATTATCTCCATTTGCAGAAGACATGATCTTATATATAGAAAATCCTAAGGAATCCACAAAAAAACTGTTAGAGCTAATAAAATAATTCAGCAAAATTACAGGATACCAGATGAATACGAAAATCTGTTGTATTTCTATACACTAGCAATGAACAATTTGAAAATTAAATTAGGAAAACAATCCCATTGACAATAATATCAAAAATAATAAAATATTTACGAATAAATTTAACCAAGGAGATTTTAAAATATACACTGAAAACTACAAAATATTGTTGAAAGAAATCAAAGAAGCCCTAAATAAGTGGAAAGATATACCTTGTTCATGGACTGGAAGACCTATATCATTAACATGGCAATACTACCCAAAGAAATCTTCAGATTCAATGCAATCTATATTAAGATCCCAATGGCCTTTTGTGCAGAAATGGAAAAGCTTATCCTAAAATTCATGTGGAATTACAAGGGACACTGAATAACCAAAACAATCTTGAAAAAGAAAAGCAAAGTTGGAGAGCTCACAGTTTCTGATTTCAAAACTTACTACAAAGCTACAGTAATCAAAAGAGTGTGGCATATTATCAGCCATAAAAAGGAATGAAATAGTAATACATGCTAGAAGATAGATGTACCTCAAAAGCATTCTGCTAAGTGAAAGAAGCTTCACCAATGATATCTCTAGCCCCACCTTAATCCTTTAGCATTCTAGATAAAGATTACCAAAGATCTACCCAGTTACCAAATTGCCCCTGCTTCCTGACAGCACCCAATCCAGAACAGACCCCTGTAAAACCTCCTTAGACTCACCAACACAAGCTCAAATCTTGTAACAAGCCCTTCCCAATTCCTTCTTAATGACACACCCCTAGTTTCTCCGGTATGTGCTAAATAACCTAACTGGTTCTTGTGGTCTTTAGCTGGTGAGCTTTGATATGTTATATGTCAAACTTTCAAAAGTGGTTAGTTCTATGGATAACAAAACAGGTAAGTTCTTCTTTCCAGTTTATACATTTCAGTATGGTTTGAATTTTTGACCACAAGCATATGTTAGTTATATAATGAGAAACACAATAAGTATATTTTGATTGGGGCAGGGGGAGGACCTCCACTGGCTCCCCTTTGCCTATAGAAAAAGATCATACCCTTAGCATGGCATACAAGGCTCGTATTAATTCAGTTCTACCATTCTCAGCAGCCCCGTCAGCCACAACTCCCCTCACTATGTTCTTGAGCCTCCAGCAGTGCCAAACTTCTCTAATTATTTCCCAAATCCTATACAACTCCATTTTCCAGTGCCTTCTATCCACTTAAGCATGCAAACAATATCCTTCCTGCAAACGCCTGCCCCCTCCCCCTGACAAAGAACTTCCTTCTAAAAACTGGTTTGAATCAAAAAATGAATGAACAAAAAATTGCAGTAGATATAAAAAATGGGATATTGCGCAAAAATGGGATATTATAAAAAGGAATGGGGCCGGCCCTGTGGCTTGGTGGTTAAGTGCGCGCGCTGCGATGCTGGTGGCCCGGGTTCGGATCCCGGGTGCGCATCGAGGCACCACTTCTCCGTTCATCCTGAGGCCGAGTCCCGCATACAGCAACTAGAAGGATGTGCAGCTACGACATACAACTATCCACTGGGGCTTTGGGGGGAAAAAATAAAATAAATAAAATCTTTAAAAAAAAATAAAAATAAAAAGGAATGAAATTCTGATACATGT